TGTTGGGGAAATTAATGGATAAAATGCACGGATTATTATTATTATTATTATTATTATTCCCACTCCGATCGGGACACTAGGTCCACCGTTTCCCTGCAGCGAGGCTCCCCCCGTTGACAGTTTGCGTGGGCTGGGCTGGGTGCAGTGGCGGACTGGCCATCGGGACGAATCCCGATGGGCCGGTATACCGAAGTGGGCCGGATAAGTCACTAGCACATCCCCCACTCCCCCCGTTGACAACTTACTAGCGGTACCGAAGTGGGCCGGTCGAGAGTCCCGGGATGATTTTTAGTCCCAGTCCACCACTGGCTACATGACCGTATTATAGCCCATATTGTCGCACCTAATTCCTAAATTTCTAACAGATACAACATAAACCGATCCTTCAGCCTCATATGAGCTCTCAGACACGTACAAAATTAAACTGTCATTGCTGTCTGAGCTTGCTGCTGTGTGCGCCATCGTGCGTTTGCATGCAGATGCTGGGATCCGGAACGGTGCAGCTGGAGCGCTTGGCCCGCAATTACGTCACACATAATTTGGCGGGATTTGAAGAATCCCAGAGAAGATCCAGAATATGGTCAACATTGAAGGGCAGATTAATGGTTATCAAAGTACAAATATCCAAAATCAGTTCAGTAACGGTTTTCAAGGGGACAATATTTACTCAAATTGATGGGTTTGGATGATGGGTGAAACCCGTGTCACAGGCTCTTTAAATGGCACTAATGAAGCCAACATGAGAACTTTTGTTCAAATCAAAGCCACATTTACTTTATTTACAATTTAAAACAACAAACCATATTTATCTGTTTTTAAATATTACAATATTGTTTCAGTCACCACCTTTACCAAATTAACTGGACTTAGGTTTGGAAAAAAAACTTCCTAGAGTGAGTTAGACGTTAGAGAGTGGTGCAGGAATGAGTCCTAAAACATGACATAGCATTTTCCACTTCCAGTTCCCTCGTCTCCAAGTCAAAGGTTCATAGGACATGTTTTTATTTAGAAGCCTGAAATCATGTCTGTGGTTACACAAGCTTTAGAGATCTTGTTTTATTCAAAGATATAAACGAAGTCTGTAATTACGATACTTGTGAATGTCTTAAAAACAGCGGTAGCTAACAAGAGACTAAATAAACCTAAACATTATCATGCGGAGTCTGCCTTTGTCTTAGCGGTGGTGACGGGCATTGACGTGACTGTGATGTAGTTCCTTTATAGCCAAAAACGTTTTACTTCTGTCAATAACATTTACACGACAAATATCATAAAGTGGTGTTAATACAGTATGTTGAGATGATCCTGCTGAACAGAACATCTAAGTATCATGACTGTTTGTCTGACACAGCGATTATTTTCTGCAATCATATGGAGATATCCCATTGTCTTTTTGTTGTGGGAGCCCTTGCGAGGCTAACTTCTGGGTTGGCCTACAGAAACACTGCACCACTCTCTAGAGTAGCATGCTATGCTCTGATTGGTCGGGGGATGAGTGTGTGTGTTTGGCGTGACAGTGTCCACCACTCATCTTATCTCCTAAAGGCCACATCTCTCTCAGTCTGTCTTTCGTTTGAACCTCCACCTCTGGGTGTGTCTCTCTGAGCTCAGAGGTCAGCCAGCATCAGAAGCCTCTTCTTATTTTATAGATGAGATGAAGTGGAGAAGCACAGTTTCAGGGTGTATGGGTTGGATCCATCTGAAACCACACACACACACACACACACACACACACACACACACACAGGATTTGTGTATTATGTCATATAATTACACATAAGTCAAATATTTTCTTTTTTTGTAAAGATATGTTTTGGGCCAGAGAGTGCCTTTATCAGAGAAACAGTGTTGAAAGAGTGAGGTAACTAATGTGTGCTTTGCTTTAATATGTTAGCTTATTCTGTAGTATTGCATGCCCTTTTGACCTGCTATGCCACTGTTGCTGTAACAATGTAAATGTCCCTGCTGTGGGACTAATAAAGGATTTCTGATTCTGATTGGGATAGAGGGAGGGTATTGCCCTGAAGCGTCTGCAGGCTCAGAAATCCCCAGTGTGTTTGTCAGCGGACACCAGCTCTAACCACTGGGCTATCCAGCAAATACTTTGACATTTATTTTCATCTGTGCAATGTCTCTTTAGTACATCTTTTGGTCTCACGTCTTTAATAGCCACATTTAAGGAATAAAATAGTATGTGTTTAGGTCAATATGAATATCATAATGTATAAACCTTGCACATTTTAAAGATGTCAAATCTAAAAACATTGTCTTTGTCCTTAAACATGTCCTCAGTTTGTCTCTGCTCAGCATATTAGGGTATATGGTCAAGTAGAATGGATGGAAGGGCTCATTGTTCTGTATCTGTAATAGCTTTAATGCTCTTAAGATTTATTAACAATATCAGAAAACAAAGGGCGAGAACACCACGGATAAAACAGAGCAACACTCCGACACAGTCTGCATGTTGAAGAGATTGGGGTCCTGTAGGGGAACTCCGTCCTCCTCCCTTTCATAATGTTCAGTATGTATTTTACCATGATGACTTAAATGTGCAACAAATGAACCATGTTCAAAATAAGTGGTCAAGTAATATGTGACTATCAGCAGTATTGGGAGTAAATGACAAGGCTATACTTAATATACATAGATCTGACTCTCCAGTGCTATTACAATCAGGCTGAATGAGAAACTGAGTGTTTGAAGACAGACTCACTGGGGATCCGGATCTGATAGTGGTTGAGAACAGTAAGAACCTCCACAGCCTCCGTCTTGCTTTCAAACTCCAGCAGGCCAGAGATGGTCTTAGAGGAGGCTAAGGGACACACACGAGAGGAGTGATTACAACTGCATACAACAGGGGGTTAAAGGTGAAAAATCAGTTCACAAAGAGAAGTCAAGAAATGAACCATTTCAAAGACATTCTAATCTTTAACAACAACCTTAACCTTAAGAAAGTTCTACTCACGTTTGGCATCAAACATCTTGAATTTGACAAATCCTGGCACATCATGCTCCGTACACAGCTGCCAAAACACACACACAGAGAACATATGAGGTAACACTTATGCACCTAATGCCAGAGATGGAGTACTCGAGTCCTGGACTCGGACTCAAGTCGGACTCGAGTGCAGATTTTCGGGACTCGTGACTCAACTCGGACTCGCGCACTGATTGACGCGACTCAGACTTGGACTCGTAAATTCTCGCGCACGATGACTTGGACTCGGACTCGTGAATGTTTACCCCCACGATGACTCGGACTCGACTTGTACATTGACGCTCCGACTTGGACTCGGACTCGAGCAAGTTTTTCTCTGGAGTCTGATGTCCTCTATCCTGGCGTGTGCACCTGTGAGGCGAGTTCACGGACTGGGCCCCGCTATTCCAGTCTAAAGATGTCTAGAGACACACCCCGCATCGTGCTGTATGCTTTCACACATTCTGCTTCCACATTGGAAAAGAGCAGCGCAAAATGCTCGTTATGTGGAAACAATATTG